GGTGCAGCCCCGCCCGGAGCCGCACGGTGCCCGCCGGAGGTGAGAGATGCGGCAGCGGCGGGGCGGTGCCGGAGCCGGGAAGGGCAAGCGGAGCGGGCCCCGCGGAGTCTCCTCGGTCGCTCCGCCCGGCTCCGGCCGCCGCTGCCCCCGCGCTTGCGGAGCGAAGTTTGGGGGGTTTGAGGGGAGCAGCCCGGGCCGCCCGCCGTGCCCGTGTTTAAAAGATCGCGGAGATATTTTCACACCTTAAACCGCCGCCCCCCTCTCCCCTCCAGTCCCCATCGCCTTGATTTAGTCCTTGGTAATTAATTTGGCATTTCAGAATAGCTACTGGGCTGGATAATGGCCTCATTCATCTCCCCAGCCTAATCTGAACAGAAACTGGAAGAAAAGCTTTCAGAAAGACAGAAACTGCCATTCGGCAACTGCTCAAAAGAACTGTCACTCCAGGGGAATAAATCGCTCCTGATTATTTCAACCCGGGTCTTCTCTGCTTTTCCAGCCGCTCCCGGTCCCGCCGGGGAACGGCCCCCCGAGAGCCGAGGAGGAGAAGAGCCGCTCGGGCTTCCCCCTCCCTTCTCCAAGCCCGGGCGGTGCAGGGGGAGGTGGGCGAGGAGCAGCGCATTGTTCCCGGGGAGGAGGACGAGCTCCGGCACCCGAAGCCATTTGACTTTTAAAACAGGCTCCGAGCGCTGGGGCCGCCTTTCCCGCTGCCACCAGTGCGGCTGAAATAAAGCCCGTCCCGGTTCTCCGTTCTCGGGGCTTCTCCCCGGCCAAACACCGAGGAACGGGGACGCTCCGCTCTGGCCCGGCCCGGCCCGGCCCTGACCCCGCTCCCGGGCAGGGACCGGGGTACCGGAGATGATGCTCCAGTGTGGTCCCAGCCGTGTTTCGTTCTCGGTGTAGGTACCGGAGATACTCCGGTGCTGGTCCCAGCAATGTAGCAGCGAAGCTCCGGCCCCGGTGCTGGTACCGGAGATGCTTCGGCGTCTCACAGGGGCTGCCTTCGGCAAGGGTCCGTCCCCTCCCGAGACAGGACACGGCCGGGACTGGCTGATGCTTCATGACTGGAAAATCAGATCCGAAGGGGGGCGATAAGGGAAGGGCACGGCCTGGTGGCCCGAGCATCCCCCCCCGTTCCATCCTCGCGGGCCGGCCCCAGGCCCCTGCCCCGGGAGGGCCCGGCAGAGTCGGGCCCGGGACCGGCGAGCTGTGCCTCGGTCCCCGCGGAGCTGCTTACATGCATTTAATAGCTCGAGGGCGAGGTAATTAGAGGAGAAAGCCTCAGTAAATCACGTTAATGACCGCAAGAGCCATTACAAACCCCGGGGGTTGTGAAACACCGAATAAACCCAGAGAGAAGGGCAGGAGGGCGGCGAGAGACGCAGCCCCGGGAGTGCCGGCGGGCAGCGGAGCCCCGCGCTCGGCAGCGCCGGGAGCTTGTTAAATTAACACCCTGCTAATGGGATTAGGCAGTACCTCGGCTTTGCGGGGGAGTTCCGCGGGGATCAGCTTTCCTTAGATTCACCCCAAGTTTTGCTGTGAGGTGGTGAAGGACCGTGCGGGCTTCAAGGGGCCGCCGGGCGACCTTTAGAAGCTCTCAGGGACTAAAGAAACGCTGTCATTTCAGCCCTGCCCTGGGCACTGGGGGCACTCCCGGGACCGCGGTCGGGCCGGCGAGACGGTCCGGAAGCGCCCGGAGCCAGCGGAGCCAGACCCGCATCTGTCCCCGGAGTATCGAGGCTCCTGGCACCTGCTGCGCCCCGAGCGGGCCCCGCGTGTCCCTCCCGGGCACAGGAGACGTCCCCCGTCCCCCTGTCCCCCGTCCCCCTGTCCCTCCGCAGCCCCGGCACGGCCGCGCACGGGACAGGGAACCCGCGGCAATAGCTGGTCCCGGACACGCGTGGCCGAAGGAAAATCGCCAGGCGAGTAAAGCGAGGGATCACAAACGAGGGCGATGCTCATGGCAGGCACCTGCAGGGGTCTGTGGGCCCGAAATGGGCGCTCCCGGCTGGGCATTCCCGTCAGTTGTCCCTGCCGGGGCCACCCGGGGCCGCGGTGATGTCCCAGAGCCTCTGTCCTGGCCTGGCCCCACGGTCCGGGACAGCTTAATCTGAATTATCTCCCTCCCTCCTTGAGGTGGACGAGAGCACACACACCCCGCTCCATCCCAATTCTGCAAAAGGGCCGTGATTGAGGAGTGGGGTTAAAACCTTCTCCGGGGCTGGCGTATCCCGGGAGTCTCCCTGGGTGCATCGGGTGGGACCAGAGGGACCGGACCGCCAGTCCCGGCTCGGCCGCATCCCCAGGCACACACAGCCTTCCTCCTCCCCCGGCGATGAAGGGCCCCGGCAGCGGGACGGAGGGGCTGTTTCCCGGGGAAGAGTTAACAAATCCCGGGAGCGGTGGGGCTGGGGGGGCGGCTGGGGGGGTCCGGGGGGAGCGATGGGGGCAGGGAGGCTGCGGAGCCCCGCTGCCCTGCAGGGAAGGCGGTTGCATTGCCAAAGACGTCCCGCTGGGCTAGCAGGCCCGGGAGCAGATTAATCAGGCACTAATTCAATTTACAACAACCACTTTTATTCAGCTCGGTGGCAAGGAATTCAAAGCGGGGAGAGAGGCGGGCGGAGAGGAGGGGGCGGAGGCCGGCCTGGGGCTCGCCGCTGCCCGGGCAGCCCCTGTCCCCTCGGGCCGCCCCGCCGAGGCTCTCCGGGGAGGGAACCGAGCCGCCGTGCCAGGGCCCGGCCGCTTGAGTGACACGGCGTGGGCAGCGCTCCGAGAGAGGGCACCTCCGTTGGAAAAATAAAAGTGCCCTTTTAATCAAAGAGGGAGGGAAGGGGGGCGAGCAGGGCGGTCGGGAGCCGAGGGAGAGAAACTCTCCGCTCCCTCCCGGGACCGTCTCTCCGGGATCTCGGTACCGTCCCCCCGGGCTGTGTCCCCGGCCGGGATCACAGCGGGAAGAGGATCCGGAGTGGATCCGGGGGGAAGCGGCCATCGGGGGCGGCCCCTCGGCCCTGGGGGTCCTCAGGGTGGGTAGGAAGGGGAGACAGGGGCTGGGCCCGGTGCGGGACAAGTGCCGCCCTTTAACCCCTTCCTCGCCTTAACGGGAGAGCCGGCGAACTGCAGAGCGAGGCGGGGGGCGGCAAGAGGCGCCCTGTGCCCGGTCTGTTCGGGGCTGTGATAGAGAGACTGCCTCTCTTCACCGGCCCCAGCCCCCTAAAACAACCTGCCGGGGGTCGCCAGGCCCAGTCGTTCCCGTGTTGTGACTTTCCCCCATTAAATTTCCCCCGCACCGGATTTTCTGTCCCAGGGGCGGGAGCTGAGGGAGCCCGCTCGGGCCGGTGCCCCTTCCGATCCAGCTGCGGGGGCCAGTCCCTGTCCGACCCGGTGGAGAGGGGAGGCCAGCAGGGACCAGGTGGGAGACGTCCCCATCCTGATCCCCCGGCTTCCCCACAGGTGGGCGTGGGGCCCCTGCCGGCCGCTTCTCCCCATCCCGCTCCACGCCCACGGAGCATCCCCAGCTGCAGGGCTCAGCAGGTCCCGGCTCCCCCAGCCCCGTCGGGGGCACCGAGGGGCGGGGAGGGGGAGCAGAAGGGCCCAGGCCCGGCTCCTCGGGGCGGCTCGGGAGCCCCGCGGCGGAGCTGGCGCCCATCACCGCGGTGTCGAGGCGGGCTCCGTCCCACTCCCATCCCCCCCCCCGCCCTCCCCGAGGCCT